CGACTAATTCAGTGTCCGGAGTGTTTGTACTATTTATTCAAGTTAAAAAATCCAATCTGCCTGAAAGTACGGGCCGTCCATGGCCTTTTTTCCACCTTGTCAGCTCATCCTGGACTCCATGCCACTAAACCGGAAGTGACTCCCGCAGTGAATGAGGAAAAGACAATCCAATTTAGCGCCAAAATGTCCGACTCCGAGATCGAGAAAGTGAAGATGCTGGTTCTGTCTGGACATAATGTCATTATTACAGGACAATGTGGTACGGGGAAAACACATATTTTAAGGTACAAATTTATATTTGAGTGCCGTTACGTTTCTTTGCAATTCTGAGCACCAAGCTAAGAAGATGTCATGTATATACTATTTTAATCCGAAATTCCTCTAACTCTCATTTTGACACGTGAACCATTTTGAGTAAGTGAGTCAGCGGGGATGTCAGGGAGTAATTGGAATCTTGGCTTAATATTTTATAAACATGAAATTTTTTCTACTTATAAATAGATAAACATATTTAATCATCAAATATTTATGTAGCTGCACATTGAAATATTTTTATTGTCAATGATCTTTCAGTAAGAATAAAATATAAATGGATGTAATGATAATAGGAATAACAGTAACTGGCAACAAAATTATCATTATGAATTAAATTGATAAACATGATAAGGAAAAAATATTTTCTTTAGGTGGGGCACTCCTAAATTTCTGATTTTTAATTATGGAGAAATAATTCAGTCACTCTTGAAAGGAAATATGGATACTATTTTATAAAACAATGACAAATTCTCAAACCTTTATTAGGGCCCCGCAAGGATTTGCGGGTGCCCTATAGTAATCACTCTGTCTGTCCGTCTGTCCCTCTTCCGTCCACAAATTTTCTGTTTTTTTCTAATAACTTTTTTTATGGTTGCCCGATCAAGTTCAAATTTGGTCTGGTAGTTCAGTAGGCAGAAATACATATTTTGATGCCAAGTTTGGTTCTCAATGTCTTCTGGTTTGGAGCTGGGGTGGTGGGGTAGATTCCTTAACTATGCATAAGAATGAATGGGCAACTTTTTTTATGGTTGCCCAATCAAGTACAAATTTGGTATGGTAGTTCAGTAGGCAGAAATACATATTTTGATGCTAAGTTTGGTTCTCTATGTACCCTGGTTTGGAGCTGGGGTGATGGGGTAGATTCCTTAACTTTAGAATGCATTGGCAAAGAGAGATAACTGCTGAAGATGTTCCCATTGTAAAATGAATGCTGGCTATGAGTCCATAGGGATTAATTAGCTTTCCTCCTGCAGAAAATCCAGAGCATTATCTTTATCTGTCACATTGAGATGAATTACCACCTCTGTCTGCAAATGAAGTTTGTTTTGAAGTTAAGTCAATTTGGAATGCTATGAACACTGTGAAATGTGGATTTAGATATAAATTTTTATAATTTATTATTGTTTAATAGTTATAATTTCATTGAATTCTAAAAACAAGATATAGATTAAAGAAGATTTTTTGATTTACTTTTTTCACTTTACGTTAATTAATTTTTAAGGTAGTTTTATAAAACCCCCATTCTATCATTAATACTGAAAAAGTTCTTATTGTAACTTTAGAAGAAAATGATGAGAGAGGTACAATTAATCCTTTGGGATCAATTATCTAGCCTGCTGCAGAAAATTTAGTAGGCTTTTCTTTATCTTTAAGATTAATGAAAACCTTTGTCTGCAACTGCTGTTTATTGAAGATAAGGTCAAGCCTTCATGATATTTTCATTCATTTAAGGCTGGCATTCTATATAACACAAGCTTCATAATTGTTTAATACATTCAATGTTAAGTTGTTCTTTGCTGCCTAATGTAAATACAAGGATATTATTTTCAGGTTTTTGAATATTCAGGAATTATCTTGAAATTTTAAGAATACAGTTGCTGTTGCTTATTCTTCGTACATTTTTTAATCATTCCGTAAGCTGCACCCTTTTAATTCTACCCCATGGCGGGGCCCTTGCTGACTGGTCAGTTTTCTAGTTTACATTTTTTTTTAAATGAACAGTGACATCACATACGAAGAGGCCTTTTTTCCTTCTTGTTAACCTTGTTCCTGGTCATGTTTAGTGCACAAGGAGTAGATGCTGAATAAAATGAAGCTGTTTTGCCAGAATTACACTTGTTAGACACACTACATTGTCCAAGGATTATTGCTGTTGTAGATGGACCATACTGGGACAGAGTTGGATTGTCATTTAAACCGTTTCGTATGCCTCTGGGCTGACCAAATAGATTTTCAACTATATCAGAGTTTATAAATCCTGGGTTAATACTGTTCCCTTTCCCCAGTCTTAGTTTACATAGTGACATAAACCCGCTTATTGTCGAATTTAAATCATCTATTGTTTCCTGTGTTATCAAGTTCTTTTCTGTTTTGTACAACACTGACTGTTCAATTTCATTTTCCCACTGATTGAAAAAGTCCAAAGACTTCTGCAGAGATTTAAATCTGAAATCACCAAGAGAAAGGAAAGGTTGATGACAGTTGCAGAAAACATCTACAAGGACAGATGTATGCTCTAACATTTCAACTGCCGAGGCTAGTTTTTCAGGATCCTGCTGGGTTGACTGATAGCTTTTCATGAGGAAGAGCATGTCTCTGTTCAGCACCTCTAATGCAAGGGAATTTCTCATTTTTGAAGCAGCTGTAAGATTTATATGTTCTGGGGAAAGTTTAGCATGAATCGCAAATCCATTTTGGATATTAAATTTAAAAACATTCCACCCAATAGTCCCAAACAATATAGGAGTCATTGAAAACCAACAGTCTACCCTTCTTTTCCTTATGTTCCAGTTTACTCGATTCTACATTATTTCTGATTCTCTTTAGGACATGCATTATATCTTGAATGGCACTGATAGGGTGTTTAATGTCATACACATCAGGGAATTGAAACAGCTTTTCCCTTGGGTTGGTATCAAACATCATGTTAAGGAAAGACCTGTTGGTGGAAGCTCCATCCGCCATGACATAATCCACTGTAAATCCGTTTTCATTCAGGACATCTACACACTTCCAAAATACATTATATAGCTGGTGGGCAGTGGCTGTTCTCGAGCCATAATAAGCAACGGGCCATTTGTTAAAACAAAACCACAAATAGGATTATACCAATAAATTTTGATTTTGAATCAGTACCTGTATTTATTGTTTCAATTTCAGATGTAATGTTTAACAGATATTAATTAAAGGTAAATTATCAATTTCTTCTTTCAATGAGTAATTGTTAGAACTCATTTACATACCGAAATCCAGTAAGTCCGTGGACAACTAACTGCAGGGCATGAGTTGCCAGTTCACCCTTTTTCTCTCCTTGACTGATGATAGCAATATTGTTGTTTGTAGTGTCCATGTCCACAAATCCAACTAAATTCCAAGAGTCTCCTTTTTTTTGGATAACTAAATCATCCTGAATAGACATTTCATCTATTATTACTCCTCCATTCATCCCAAAGGAAGACACATTTTGTCTTACTGCCTCCTTTTTCATCCAATTTATGTTTTCACTATTGAAACCAGTACTTTGTTTTATGGAATTTTTGTAATATCGCAGAAGTCTCTGTGATGGTAGGACAAGAATCTCAGAGTTCTTAAGGTCTTGAGAGCCTTTCGGGGATCTAATATATAAATTCAGACATATACTAATCACCTCTGGATCCCACCTCCTGTGATGTTTATCTAGCCCTTTCTTACAGTTTTGTAGCTGTGATTCTAAAAGAACTTGAAATTTTTTGGGTGCACCATTTTCAATGACCTTGTTCAGAATAAAATGCATATCTTCATGATCTTTAGAATTCAATTCAATATCAGCTGTAATAATCAATTTTTTCAGTTCTTTCCATTCTGTTTAATTCATTAACCTGTAAATCTCCAGATGAGGCCTTTCCAACAGAATTTTGTTGTAAACTGTCCGAATTTTCCTTGTAGGATTCTGTGTATTTGCTTCTTTTTACTGTTATATTTTCTAAAGTTACATTTTTTTCTTTTTCTGTTTTTCATTACAGAGTCAAAGCACACTTCACAATAGGTGTTTTTTACTGTCCAGTTCAAAATGACTTAACATGATTTACTCCATGTTCTTTTTTCAAATTGATTTTCATCATGAAGCACAGAAAAATTGGCAAACATAAATGCAGCTGATGATTCATCTTCATTCTCCAAGCTTTCAGTTCCATTGCAAAGTTTAATTACTGTTACAAGATGAATGATGCCATCCACATTTTTTTGAGTAGGAAACAAATCAAAGCCAATTGTAAAGGACACATTTCTGATTTTCAAATTTGCTCTGCTATTGTTAAAGAAGATACTGCACTGTTGTATTTGCCCATTCAAAGCTACTGTCAAAGGTATCTCAAATTTCAATATATTGTTACTTATGTCTGCAAGTACACAAATGCTTGGTAATGTAATACTACCATTGTCATTGGACTCTGATCTTAGCTGTATTTTCTTGTATGCCACAATTTTTTTCTTATTTTCAAAGATACGACATGGAATGGCGCCAAACAATGGCTGTATCAACTTAGCTATTGCATCTTTGTTTGGTATGGAGAGGGCTTTTGATTCAAAAAATGACACACATCTATCCACAATGGATTCCAACCTTACTAACCCTTCATCAGCACTTGAATATTTAACACACAGCCTAAATAAAATCAAATTAAATTTATTATTAAGCTTTAATTAGTAAAACAGTTATTGTTATTTTTGCCACACATACCACCCTGCACAGGTGAAATTTAAGAGGTTTCTGGGGATGGGTTGGGGGATGGGGGTTAATGGAAGTCTACTTTTCTGTCTGTCTGTAGTTTATCTTTGAAACTTTTTAAAGCAGCTCTAATTATAAAATATGTCCTTTTTAATACTAGCCCCAGAGGGTCTGTTATGACAAGTATCATTACAGGACGCTTATCAAGGATATTTCAAGTAATTTAAAAAGACAGGTGTCAGTCACAGCTACCACTGGGATGGCAAGTATGCAGCTAGGATATGGGGCGACGACATTGCACCACTGGGCAGGAATCCTAGATGGACGATATTCTTGTGAAGAGTTGGAGGAGTTGTTTTTAAATGATGATAAGTTTGCTGCAGCAAGAGAGAGAATACAGAGTACAGAGATATTGATCATTGATGAAATCAGCATGCTGTCAAAGAAAATTATTGATGTTTGCAGACTGTTTTTAAAGAAAGAAATGGTGTTTGGAGGTTTACAGGTAAATGTATATAATCTCTATGTGTTGTATCTTAGTTAATTAAATTAATTAAAAAATAATGACCTTTAAAGCTATTAATGTAAGAATTGTGGAAATAATTATGTTTTCTGTAAGTTTTACTGGTACATGTATTATGTTTGCTTTTTCCAAAAAAATATGAATGATATAATTCACAGGTTATTGGATGCGGTGACTTTAAACAGTTGCCCCCAGTTCCAAATTATAGATATGGAGATGATGGGTCATATTGTATAGAGAGCAATGTCTTTCAAAAGACCTTCCAGCATCACATTAATTTGACAGAGGTAAGAATTTTTTGATAATTGTAAATTAAAGCTCTTCAAATACATATGTATTGTTAAGTTTGAATAATTCTATAGAAATTGCTGAGAATGGACAAATCCTCATGAATTACTCAAGTGAGCTAATCCTTGCTCTGTAAGCTATTTCCCAGTTCAATTTCCTCTATTTCTTCACTTGTATGGGTATAATAAAACAGTTAAAAAAATGTATATCATTGGGAGAGCAAGATTCCAGTTCACCTAAATCAGGACTATATCACTTTGCTGCACCTTGGAAAAAAGTCCTTGCCAACAGCCTTTGGGAACAGGTATTTTGCTAACTCCCTCAATGATAATTATAATTTTTCCCATGACCAGGACTATTTCCCAATATCTATATGTGTATGTAGACAGCATTAGCTTTTTAAATGTAAATGTATGTTAGTTTTGGACATATTGTGTCACCATTTACTGGAATATGCTTTAATCTCACTTTCAAAAAGCATGCATTTTACTTTTTTAAGGTAAAGCGACAAAATGAGCCAGAGCTAGTGAGGGCAGTAACTGAACTTTGTAACGGAACACCTTCTGAGGACACTGTTCAACTCCTGCGCAGTTTAGACAGAACTCTTCCTAAAAATGTAGAGATTACTAGGCTGTATGGAACTAATTTTGAAATCAATTATATCAACCATGAATGTATAGAGGATGAAAATGGTCTGATCTTCACATACAAGGCTAAAAATGAAGGTAAACTCAAAACATGTACAATGTGCAAAAAAAGGAAAAGTCTGGCTTGGGGCCTTAAAATTGAGATAAGTTCATTTTTAGCTCACCTGAGCTTTTCTGATCACCCATTGTCCATCCATCTGTCTGTCTATCCACCCGTATGTAATTTTTTCACAGTTTTAAGTTCTTTTCAAGAACCACTGGGCCAATTTTAACAAAACTTTGTACAAAACATCCTTTGGTGAAGGGAAGTTTAAATTGTTGAATTGAAGGGCCAAGTCCCCTTCCAAGGCGAGATAATCAAAAAAAGACAAAATAAGGTGGAGTCATTCAAAAAATCTTCTCAAGAACCACTCGGCCAAGAAAGCTTAAATTTATATAGAAGCATCCTGGAGTAGTATAGATTCTAAATTGTCCAAATCATGACCCTCGGGAAAGGGGGTCATAATAGGTATTACAAAGGAATCTGGTAATGAACAGTCTGGTTTAAGTTACTCAGGGGATCGATGTGGGCCATGGGCCTCTTGTTGATCTCAGTCTCAGAAAAGTGAGACTAGTACTTGGATCTAAAGTGAGCTTGTCTCAGTTTTATGACCCCTTTAGCCTGATGCCTGAAAACTAGTTAACATTCGGTTGGGCTATTAAAATTTGGTCAGCACAAACCAATGGGACTAGCAGAATTTGTTCTGATGAATTTATAAAGAAAGAAAATGATGGATTTTTTAAAGAGAAAGTTGAGACAGAGATTTGGTATGAATTAAAACAAGATAGATTTTTAAAAGGAATGTCACATTTTTTTTGGTTGTGTGTGGGTCTTCTTTAAAGAAGTTTTTAAAATCGTGCTATAATACAATGCCCCATTTGGCTTGTGCCAAAAATGATTTCCGTTCATATTTTGAAGCTCTAAAATTAAAATATTTTAAGTGTACTAACATTAATTTCCACTTCCTACAGTACTATTAAAGCATTAAAAGAAATACACACAGTGATTGTACAAAATATATTTTAATATGTGCTGTATCATTTTATAAAGTGAATTAAGTTTGAGAGTTTATTTCATTATTTTCAAATGCATGAGTAATAGTGTTTGAAATAATCAGGCACCCAACCGCCCGAGACGCACAAATTTTGTCATGGGTGAACAGATCTGCACGTATATTAAACGCCCGGCAAGATATGTAAAATTTTTCCATATATTAAAATTAAGATATTTGATAAAACTCTCTCAAATCAACTAATATTACTGGTTGCAAAGTGTACCAATCAAAAGGGTAGAATTCATCAGCCGATAGGTCCACGATTGAATGTAGAATGAGCTGGCCCCATTCACATTACAATTTAAATGAACTTATAAGAGACAGATATTTCTTTTTCGGGCTAATACATATTTGGAAGGGCTGACAACTTTCGCTAGCATCAGCCCAAACTTGTCTAGTTAATTGTACATTAAGTTTCAAGCACTGATGAGTAATTTTGCTATTTCAATTTTCTTTAGGTCCAAGGTATCTTTTACATCAACTAAATGTACCTAATACTCTCATCTTAAAGGAAGAGGCTCCAGTAATGTTGACAAGGAATTTGGTAGGGAGTTTGTATAATGGATCCAGAGGAAAAGTGCACACCTTAAAGAAAGACTGTCCTCCAGTGGTCAACTTCAATGGAAAATTAATTGAAGTTCCTTTATATAACTTTGAAGTGTACTCACAGGAACAATCGAAAATACTTGCTAGACGCACCCAATATCCGCTTATTTTGGCTTATGCATTAACAGTGCATAGAGCCCAAGGACAAACATTACAATATGTAGACGTGGACTGTCATTCTTTTTTTGCTCCAGGACAACGTCGATGGGTTACGAGTAGAAAATTTCAATTTACATGCAGCTTCGTTGAAGCATCGTCAATGTGTGTATGACTTTTATAGCAAGGATACATTCATTGAACCTTTGGATGATATTTTACTTTACAATGCAGCGGCAAACTTTACACCTACATCTAGCTGCACGCGTTACACATAATTTGAGGAAATGCGGAAAGTCTGAAAGACGTCTTTTAGTACACATAATTCGTACATTGTATAGAGAACGAAGTCACACAATAGAAAGTAATGTCCAGGATGTTTTATGCATACCATTTGATTTAGTAAAAAGATCCCAGCGCAGTCCGCAAGTGTATTTATTTAAAATCAACGAGGTAAACAAACTGTATCAAGAACTGAAGAGTTATCTCCCATGCTGGGTCAACGATGCGTTTGAAAACTATATTTAGATTGACTGTACCAAGATGTCAATTTTTAATCAAAAAGTTCAAGGGCAAGGCGACAATCTAAAAAGTAGGTTTATATTTTAAATGTTTCATATTACTGTATAGTTTTAAAAAAGTGATGCTCATTTCTTTGTAATCCTTTAGGTAATTTATAATTTCCAATGAAATTAGGAAAATGTGTTAGCTGAATAACTTAAATATATCGGAAAACTAACTGAATGAGCATCACTTTTGCGAAATTATAGATACATATGGACAATCTAAACACTGTACAGTTATATTTTTGTTTGCCTTGCCCTTGAACTTTTTGCTTAAATTTGACATTTCATTTGTTGACCTAAAATCCCAGCCCACGTGACTTTAGATGGTCACATGATGACAAAAAATACCGATTTGAATAGCGATGGACATACTCTTCAAGATAACATAAAGTTATTTTAACTAGATTGTCTTGCCAAAAAATAAAACAGTTAAGCATTAAGTGTATTGTTTACGGTGACTTTTTATGGAAAATGTTGCCTTAACTGTACTGCGTATACCTTATTCGTATGCCTTTCAAAAATTTGGCATCAATATTCATGAACCTCTTCATAAGAATGAGGCGTATCTAAAACCACGTGGTATTCCTGGCTTCAGTTAAATCGTCCAAGGACAACCTGTCGCAGCATGTTTCCTCGAATACAACGAGCAGTCGTTTAATATATGGAATTTTTAGACTTGCACTCTCTACGAAGTTTTTAACATTGACTTCCCTTTTAAAATGGTAGGATGTTTTAATAGACGGGAAAAATTAGAAAAAATCCTAACAGATCTCAAAACTCTTGATTTCAGATGAAAAATGCTTACAAAACATATGAGAGTCGCTCGCAGAAATAAGTACTTAATTTATCCTAGTATAAAATCAATCGTCAAGAATACTCTGCACTTTCCAAAGGCTTAAAATTCATACCAACTCCACAAAAAAGAAGTATCAAAAAAGTTATTTTGAATGACTTTGCAAACTCAGATGCAAGTATCACTATGATAAGGGAGAAAACTCCCCATACATCCTTTCAGAAAACCTTCGGGTCACAAACCCCCACTGGCTTGTAATACTGTAGAACAATACATTAACAAAACGAAACTAGATCTTTTTGTCGTCCAACAAAAACGGAGGGCTTTTCGACCCCTTGAAAAGAAAAATCTTAAATTAAACATTAAAAAAATCAAATAATACAATATCGCAAAAATTCTTTTCAGATCAATAGTGAATTGAAAACATAACGATTCTCTTTGTCCACCAGTGTCTACTCAAAGAAACATAACTCTTTCATAAATATTTAAAACATACGAAAATGAACTATTTTTTCAATCCACTAAAACTCATATAAGGGGTCAAAAAGTGACCCCACGGCCAATAATTTTTAAACTGCACTCTTTATGCTTAATGCAAAACCAAAATTAGTTTGGATATTGGTTGAGAAATAAAAAAGTTACAGAGAAAAGACTGTTTTTTGTACTGACCCCTAAAGTCCCTTCTATTTAAGGGATTTTTCTTTCCATGACCTTCCCAACTCGAGACAATGAGAAAGTCATTATTCATGTGAAATATCACGAGAATTACTTACTTCCCTTTTCAGATATAAAACATTGTATGATTTCATATTTAACATTGAAATCTCCATAGACAATGTTAAGGTACTCATAAAACCGGAAGTACTCTTCATATGCATATCAAAATTGAAACATAGAGAGCATTTTAGACTCCAAACAGGTTGACAAAGAAAGATAACTCTTACACTATCATTTTATGAAAAAGCTTAAAAATACAATATTTCAGGTCTCTAAAACTCCTATAAGGGGTCAAAAAGTGAACCCACGGACCATAATTTTTAAACTGTTCTCTTTATGCTGAACTCAAATCTGCAAACTGTTTGAAAATTCATTGAGAAACAAAAGTTACAGGCAAAGGTCTGTTTTCAATGTTGGCCCCTAAAAATCCCTTATTTCCCGAAATTTTGGTTTCACAGTCCAATGAAGTCAGAATAGTGTTAGAGTCATACTGTATTCAAAATATTACAAGAAAATATTGATTACTTCAAGAGATAATGTACCATGTCTGTTTTCATTTTAACACAGAAACTCCCATATACAAATTTCAAGACCAATAAAACCGGAAGTTCTGCTCTGTTTGATATGAAACTTACAATATATGTTCTACTAATTAGTTTTAACATATATCTATGCTCAAAATAATTTTTCTAACGTTATTGTGACTTTTTAAAATTTCATCCCTCCTTTTTCAATGTTTGAAGTCTTATATCTCGAAAAGTATCTGTAGTCAAAAATCAGCTACGCGCACTTTTTCATAGGGTTAGGTCTCTAGAATTCATATCTAAAATTTGGGAGTCTAGTTACTAGAAGTAAAAATGTTTTTGGCCTCTTCAGAAATTTCAGTTTTCCCTACTTAGAAACCGGAAGTGACAAGACCGGAAATCTAAAACTTTAATGACAAGATATTTTGACACAAGCTGTTTAATAGTCATAAAATAAAATACCTATTTTTAAAGGTACTCCTGAAAATCTGAGCAGAAGAATTGCTAAGTATAATAATAATAATAACTAGAATCTTGTTGCCATGGCAACAAATAAGTCTTCCGTTCTTCTAAATCTGTAAGAATTTGCTTTTTTCTCTGCAAAAAACATAAATATATGTACTCTGAAAGAAAAAAAACTGCAAAAAGGTCTTTCAGTACTTAAGGTACTTTGATTTTCATG